AAATAGACCAACATTATTTAAATAGCCCAAATAGAACATCCAACATAATTTTAAGAGTATTTTCTTGATGCATTGAGACCATACATTTAATTTTACTCACATTAAAATTGAAAATGCAAACAAGAAAGGGATCACTTGATTGTTTCTATAAGAAAAAAGAAAGAATAGGAACACTGGGGACAAGAACAGAAATATTAACTTTTTTAACCTCCATTTTCTCTCTGAAGAAAAGCAAAATTATCGGACTTGAATATATTTTGTAGATTAGACTGCTGAAGCTATACAGAATCTTAACTGGGTGATAAAGAATTGCAATATTATTAAGAGATTAACTGAGAATACATTCAATGACTAGATTTTGTGAATTAGGAACAACAAAGCTGAACAATAATATATACAATTCTAGAATAAATACTATTTGTAAATGAGTACAGCAGGAAAAAGCTGTGGTCCATAGGAGCTGCCATTAGGTCATAGAGGAAAAGCCACACCATATTAATATTATGTCATGATCTCATTACCAACTCTGCCAGAATAGTAAATGACAGTACAAGTAGTGTTTTCAACAAGATATTTGATTACTTCTAATGCTATACTTATGAGAAAGATTTCAAAATAACTTGCTGATCAACAATCATTGATAACTGTTTCAGTGATTTATAGACAGAAATTTTGATTTTTTTTTCAGTATCAAAATAAGAATATTTTTAGTGCATCATAGCAGAGTATCCTAAGGCTTACCCTTTTGGGAATGTGTAATCCTATTTCATCCAATTCCCTTGATGAATAATCAGGAGAAATATATATCATCAAACTAAAATTATGAAATAAACCTAATAAGATATATAACTGGGGGAAGAAGTAAAATATTTGATATTTTTTCAAGTGAACCAACTGGATAAACATGGCAGGGGGACATAGAACTTAGTTGTAGTACTTAGCTAACTATATATAGCCCAAGTCAAGAGTGTTTTGCAACTGTCTGTAAACTTAGACTGCAATAGTTACATAATGATTAGCACTGCCATCAGGAGGGGGAGAGGCCTTAGTTTGGGCCACAGAGAGACACAGAAAGACAGTGAGGGGAGAGGAAATAGGCAAAGAAGGTGACTAGTCTTTTCATACAGGAAAGCAACTCTAGGTACTGGATATGCTTAACTTGTAGAAGTAAGAAATAATATTAAAAATGCCATAGTTACTATATATAAATTCTTGGAATTCATCAGATAAATTTAAAGATGACTGATGCTTTTGCAATAAGTTTGCAAGTTATTAATTCATAACAATTTTCTCTGTCCACTTTATAGTTGTGAGATCTTGGAAAAGTTGCATAATCTCTAAGCCTTATTTGGTGATCTTTGAAACAGAAATAAAACCTATTTCATTATGTGGTGGCTAGGATTAAATTAAGAAATATATGTAATAAATATAAAATTATTGTGACATCATTTATAAGACTGGCAACAGTGTCATATTTTTATTATATGTCATATACTTAAAATACATTATAATCAGAAAAAATTCAACCTACAAAGATGTGGCTAAATTAGGAGATAAAGGTCATTGGTTTCACGTAGAATGGAATATTTAATTTTTAATGGAGAATTTATTTTATAAGTAGCTCATTCAGCCATGAATATTTTTGTCTTGGGAAGGCTTTTTATTCTTACCAACACTGCAGTGACAGAAACTTAAGTAACAAATACTTAGAAAACGTAACCATCTATATCTCACAGTAGGCAACTAAAGCCACAATATTATTTCAAACAATACCAAAACATTTAAGTTATGAAAGAGTTTGGATAATACTAGAGATTATTAGGAAATAAGTGTGAAAAACTGTTACCAACTCTATCTTTTATCTTAGTTAAGGGTAGCATAACTTCTGGAGTAACTGGTCTGTACGTCAGGCCTGGTTTTGACATAAAGCTGGAAAAGTAGATAGCAAAAATTTTCCGTCTGTCTTAACCATTTATTTCCCCCAAACCCCACAAAGCGTCTTCTATCTTTTGCTATTTCCATCCAAAAATCTCATTAAACTATATTTTTAAAATTTTCTAAAAGATTTGTTGGTATTTTTTGCAAGTTTATCTTTTAAAGTCCTCCACCCCATTTGGGGGGTTATTTAGCGATTTAAAATATTCTTTGTGGAAGACATTGCAACAGTATTTCTTTACTGAGTCATTTTAATTTTTTTCTTTTTAATTCTAAATAATCAAACTTTCTTTAAATTTTACATTTTGGTCATGCGTTCCATCTATCTATCTATCTATCTATCTTCTTGTTTTGATATGAACTACAGAATTAAATCCTTTTATGGATGTGGTCATAATTTATGTGTCCTATGTTGTCTTAGACCCAATACTATGCCTGTAGTAGATCATCCAATAGTTTTTCCATGCTTAAGAAATCCTTCATATCACATTTCTACTAGGAAAAAATTGTCCATTTAGAAATATTCCTTAAGCTATACACCAAAAGCTGAAAATTAAATCATGAGTTTTTTCCTTGGCCCTCTTGCTGTGTACAGGTTTGTCAATTCCTTTGAAGGGATGAGTTGCAATGTAACTGTGTTTTCTTCACTCCTAGATTAGTTATTTCTTGTATGTCAACATAAATAATTTATAAATGCATTTAAAATTAAAATCTTGCTACTAACACAATTTTGTCTTTTGAAAAGATGCCCTTATGTTCTACCTCATAAAGTTAAAATGAATCATGCAGAGGAATCTGAAGTTTAGTAAACTAATACAGTCATCTTGAGTAGGAAGATTAGTGATTGTGTAGTAGTTAGGTTATTGTTCACTAGTGAGGTCATGCAATTTCATTTATCCCAGGAAACAACTGACTCCAAAATTGGGGTTTAAATGTAGAAGATTTAGTAAAAATCAAGGCTTGATCAATTCATAGGATTTTATTGAATTTTCCTTGTGGCTTATGACATAATCTGTTTTTGTAAATGTTCCTGTATGCTAAAAGCAATATAGTCTGTCTGTGAATGGCTTTAGATCCATTTTGTATCAATCTCTATAGTTTCTACTTTCCACATCATTCTGCCTTGTCTCTATTTCTATTCTTTTTGCTAGAATATTACAAAATCCTCTTAAATAATCTTAATCCATGGGTAAAGTAATCTGTAAGAGTCACAGCATTGACCAGTTTTGTTGTTCTTTAAATCTTTAACAGTTCGTCCCTGCCTACTGAGTAACACTCAGCTTCCCTGGCTTAGTAATCAGCACAGCATAGACTGCAATGTGTGTGTTTTATTTTCATTTGGTTTTCCTCGATGCCCTAGCATTGCAACTAAGATACCCAATCACCCTGTCCTCAAATTGCCTTTATTCATGGTGCAGTTCAAGCCTGCTCTGCTAGGAATCTTTCATTTCTTTTCCCTTTTATATTACTAAATAGCTCTCCTAATGTTGTTATTTTCCTCTCTTTTACTTTAGTATTTTATCCATGTCTACATTTACTACTTAAGAGCTTCTTATAAAGACAATCCATTCAAATTTTATAAGCAGGAGTTACATCAGAGAAATAGGTATTTCTACTTTCTTCAGGAAAACCCTAATAGGTGGGAATGGCAGGGTGGGTAGTGTTCCCCCACAAGGAAGGGCCGCCATCTAGTGACATTTTCACCACACTGCAGGGTTTGTTTCAGATCTGAAGTCTGAAAATTCCTCTTTAGATTTTTCTCAGCAAAGATGCCAAAAACAGATTTTTAAAATATTTCCCATATGGTGTTCCAAGAAAATATATTGTATATGGATTGTGTTTTTGCACAGGATTAATTATTTTACTCGAATTAATTTAGCGTTGATTTTGGACGCATTTTGGAGAAACTGATGCATCTGAAATTTTCATTTGTAAAAACAAAAATTAGTGATATGTATGGATTCATTTTCAAAGAAGACTTTTAGCAGAGTGCTTGAAAACTGGATATACATCTGATACACATCTAATAAAGTGTGAAAGGTGTGTATTCTCCTGAGATGACAGAGTATTCAGCAGAGTTATAATTAAAGTGATAAGTATTAGCTAGTGGCAGAAACATAACTTTTGGTGCCAAATGGCTTATAATCATCAGCTTTGTGATTTGGACGACAATGCAAAATCACTCAAATTGACCATTTTCACACCTGAATACGTGGAGATAACATTATCTTTGTTGTGAATATAAGAAATTACATATAGGGCCGGGGATTTGGCTCAGTGGTTCCACCGTCTGGCTCGCAAGTGGAAGGACTCGAGTTTGATACCGGGTACCAAAAAAAAAAAAAAAAATTACAAATATATTTAACATATATATATAATTACATTGTGTAGCAGCCTCAATGTCCTGAACTGAGTAAAAATGTTCACCTTTCGTGGTTGTTTTGACTTTGAGAAGAGCCAGAAGTTGCACAGTGTCAGATCCAATGAATAAAGTGGGTGAGGACCCAAAGTGCTTTTACAACCTTTCCACTGGATGTCACTCAGTAGCAGAAGCCACAATATTTTTGATCTCACATTGCAAAGACACAAAAGAGGACTTCCAGGAGTGCTTCACAAAGTGGGAAGAAGGGTAGGATGTGTTTGAAGCTATGGGGAGAATTTTTGAGGGGATTAAAAACAATATATCTTTGACTGTAATTTTTTTAAAAATTAACCGTTTAGTATATATTTTTATTGCCTCCTTGTACAGGTGCTTGACCTATAGTAGGGACTCAAGAAATAAATGGTTGTTTGCTTTTAATTATCACTGTCCTTCTATTCTTGATGTTGTGTATAGAGACATACATTTGATTTCAAATTTAAAAACTGTTATTTCTAGTTTCTTAATTTGTTTCTTTCACACAGGATAGAGTGTATATGTTGATATCACTCCATTACATACTCATTAAAAGAGTACATGCTTATTTAGTAAACATGTGAGCAAAAATTATAAATTATCAAAGTCATAAATTATTTTATCACCATATTTAAAAAGTATTCAGAAAGAGTAAGTTCTTCATACTTACAGCTTTCCAGTTGCATTATACATGTTTGCACATCCATTGGAAAATTCTTAAGATCCATTGGGCAGGAAAGTGTTAATGTTAATCTGAAAGAATTCAAAGTAAATATTTTTAAATAAAATTTATGACATCATAATTCTGCTCAGTTGTTTAGAGAAAACAATGTTGCTTTGGTAGTGACTAACATTTATTCAAGTGAACTTTTCTCCAACTTAGATATGATATGTATCCCTTCACACATAAATCTAGGGGTTTTTTTGGGGGGGGTGAGTACGTAGAGGATAGTTGTTTTTTGTTTGTTTGTTTGGTAGCGGGGATCGAACTCAGGTCCTTGAGCTTGCTCAGCAGGCGGTGAAACCACTGAGCTAAATCCCCATCCCTGGATAGTTGTTTATTTATACATCTAATCTCTTAATTTATATTTAAATTTCAAAGGACTGTGGCCCTCAGAGAAGAGCTCAGCACTCCTGCAAGAGCCAGTTTGAGGGTGGTTTCTATAAAATTAATACCAAATGTCACAAGATGCATTTTCTCTAAATCACATTAACAGAATATTTAAGAGGAAAGTATAGAAGGGGAATTGGAGCTCTAAATGTAGGATAGATAGCAGGGTGCAGAGATGTAATCCTATATAACAACTTTCAGTCATTTTTCTAAGTAACTGAGGAAGTTGTCAGTGAATACCTAGCAGTCTTCAGTGAAGGGAAGCTGGAGAACTTGAAAATGTAGTCAGTAGAGTCAAGGAAACTTGACTGTGTGGGTAGGGCTTTTCACTAGGCATCATCAGGGTCAGGAAATAAATTCTCTAGTATCAGAGATATAATTCCATGTTGATCAAACACATTTCTGATTTTGCTCATACAAAGCATAACCTGGATATTAGATAGCACCATTCTCTCCATTGTAAAGGCTCTTCCCCCATTTTGGGAGAGTATTCATATGTTGTTAGTTGTTATTCCAGATAATTGATCATTTTTGAATTAGTTTTTATTAGAAATGTGTATTAAGTTTATTACCGAGCTGATGTCTTAAGGGGGGAGAGGGAGAGAGAGAGTGAGACAGAGAGAGATCAGATGCAACATTCTTCACAGTTTTCAACTGTTCTTTTCTGAGAACTCTCAAGACAGCCTCTCAGCCTCTTTTATTGAAACTATTCCCATTGAAGTTTGAAATTCAGTGTGTTAATAAGTACCCTGGGTGGATTAGTTTACCTAAACTTTGTAACTATAGGCATGGTACTTCTCATGTGAAAAATGAAGTTAATAATAGTACTCCCTGCAGAGTTTCTGGGAGCAAATACATGAATTGATACATGTAACATGCTTAGACAAGTGCTTGACACATAGGATATAATTAATAAATATTAGTTATTAATGATTCCTTTCCGTAGATCCTAGACTCCATTGATTTCGCCTCTCCCTAATTCTAAAATTTGAACACAAAGAAAAATGAATTAAATCACTCATAAGAACTATCTAAGCATTAAGAAAAAATAACCACCAACTATATTAAATATAATTACATTCTTCAAGATGTCATTTTTGTGTCGACCACAGACATAAAGTTATAGTGCTGTGTAATCTACAGTGAATATCTTGGTGGCTTAGATCCAATTAACATAATTTGAGAGACATAAATGGACAGATATAAGGAGCTGTTAAATTTTAAGGAATCCCTGGGGGATCATTTGGTAATTCATTTGAGTCAGAATCTGTGACACTCTAAAATAATTCATAGAGTTCAATATTCAAACCCGTTTTCTTCCTGATTCAGTCAGGTTAAGTCATCCTGTAAGTAATTGTGTATGTTTACAAAGTTCTATTTAAAAAGTAACTGCAAAAGTAGGTGGACACAATGTTCTCTGCCTTGTAAAGGATTTATTAGAGGAATATGTACACATGTATTTTGAAATATGCACACAATTTTCCAAATATCCAAGGCTTTTGGCCAGCCAGTTTCAAACACTGACTTACAGAATCCTCTGACCTTTGATATAAAAGTAAATAGAATTTTCATAATCTTTTCTGCCCTCTCATCGTGTTTGTGATGTCAAATTCATACTCTCACTGTGTTTCTGGCATAAAATGAGAGACATTATGTAATTCTTAAAAAAATAGCACTTGAAAGGAATTATTTGGCAAAGAAAAAGTTTGTAAAACTCCTGACATAAATCATATCCTGAAAAAAACTCTATTTATTGACTTTTCTTCTTTTTAAGATATGGTACAATTGCTTCTTTAACAGCATATTAATGAAAAATATGTGTCAACTTGGTGGATGTCATACTGAATTTCTTAATCAAAACACTATGCATAATTTAAAGATATGTTTTGACCACATCAAAAGAAAACTAAATCAAGAGGCAATTACTCATATTCTACTGTTTTGGAAATGAATATGTTCTTGTGAAAGAAGGACACTAAGTTCTCTTTCTGAGACAAGACACATAAGCAGGATATAGAGTTTCTTATTTTCCCCTAAGAAATCTTGGCTGAGTGAAATAGTAATGTTTAAAAAGCTGAATATCATCCAGTGTGAGAGTTGATGTTAATAAAATTTCATTATTGTATCAAAAAAAGTATTGCTCATACTCTGATGTGTATGTCAAACATTAATTGAATTAAAAAATATTATCTAACTCCTTTGTAAATTTTTAATGAAACATGTATGTTTAATCATTTCTAGTGTTTCTAAATTTGGTATCACAAGGACAATAGTGTCTTAACTAGCTTTTAATCAGCTTTGTCATTTTTTCTGTAATATCATAGTAAGTAACACTTTACAGTGCTTACTTTGTGATAGTAGGCACTATTTCAAATACTTTATATGTGGTAACTCATTTATTTTATACTACAAACTTACAAGACAGGTAAACAATATTACCTTATTTTGTAGATGAAGAAAGTAAGAAATTCAGTACACTCCTTCACACTAAAGAGAAGAATTTGTAAACCTGGGAGTCTAGTTCTAGATTCCATGTTCTTAATCTTTAAAAATACTACCTTTGAGAAACATTGGAACATTATTCAGGAAAATAATTTCTGCAATTAATGACATTTAAAATTTTGTATTTGTGTGTATTTCTCTATCATAAGAAATGGTACAATGCAGATATTATAGTTATTAAATTAGAGTTAAACCATAAATAAATAATTTTTTCAAAAGAAATTAAAAAAATATAAACTATAGATAATATAAAAATGTCTCTAAGATTTTACATATTTGAGCAATTTTATATTCTATCATGAAGTATTTTATAAAGAATAAATAACTATTAGAAAAGATTGTTGTTAGAGATCTAAAAAGGAGATTAGAATTAATTTCTATGAACTAAATCTGGAGGTTTGTTGTCATCTGACCTTGAAGACAAGTATAAATCTTATCATCCCATTATCAAAGCAATCTAGTATCAATAAGAGCTCCTTAGGAGGCTGAAATGAGTAAGCTATGGCTCCCTTCAGAACAACACACAATTACTGACATGCCAAATTTGCCTTACAATGTGTGTTTTATAGAATGCAAATTGATTTCCCTTGACTGAACAGAATTTTTGAAAAGTAACTGTGGAATAGTTTGATTTTCTATGTGAAATATTAATGTTCAAATTTTAAAGCACATTATACAAGTAAAGTTTAATTTTTGTACAATCAAATTTCAAAAAATGGACTATATTTAGCTTAAATGAAATTAAAATTTTACTACAATCTTTGACAAGTTGCTATGCATAATATCTTTAACATTAACTTTCTCCTTGCTATTTTAGTTTTAAAGCAATAATGGTTCTGTAATAGAAAGTTATAAGTATTAGTTGTACCAGTCAAATAAGGAATAGTTAATATTTAACTGCCTATAATGTGCTTCTGTCATCTTATGATAATGACACTTCATCTCCATTTCACAAGTGATAAATATGAGCCTTAGGGAGAGATTTTCAAGAACCCATTTAGTGCTGACTCATGGAAAACACTGAATGTATGTGTGTTTTTTTTTTTTTCTTTTCTGGAAAAATAAATATAATAACCTAGGGTGTATTGTATGCCTGGCACCATACCAAGAGTTTTCCATTCACTATTTTAGCTTCAAGATAATTAGTATTATCATATTATACATATAGGAAAAATGAGCCTTTTAGAAGTAGACTTGTCCCTGATCAGAACTAGTAACTAGTGGAGCCTGGATCTAGGGTGGGAAATATAGTTTTCTTTGGGCTTCTTGATCTTCTCTACCTCTTTCTGGGTGTACCAAGACTGTAAAGACCTCATCATTGTTTAACCTCAGCCATTCTCTTTTTTTTTTCCATTTTTTTTTATTAGTGCATGTTTGGAATACATAATGATTACGTTCCTCCTGGGAAGTTGATATTTGTACATGAAAAATCTCTGTTTCATCTCTTTTCCCTCCCTCCCTTCCTGGTTCATTTCTTAGGATGGTTTATTCAGGTGCTAATTTCTAGAGAGGAGACAATATTGCACACTTGGATGAAGAGAAGGCTGATTTACGCCTTGCTTTAAAGTAGTGGGTTCTCCAGACTCTGTTATATTCACCTAAGTACACTTTACTGTCCCAAGGGCAATTGAAGACAAGATAGAAATAGGGCAAATATGTTCATATTCTTGGTGCTTACTTTCAGTAAATAATGGATTCCTTTGTCTCTGACTCAACAAAATTCTTGTGTCTTCTGCCAGAATCCATGAAATAGTCACAGGTTGACTTTACAACTAAGGTAAATAAAATGACAAACTGAAGAGTCTAGAGTCATGTGTCCAGCATGAAAGCCCTCACTTGAAAAGTAATTTATTTAAAAATATCATTGTAATTTAAAAGTTCAAACAGTTCTATAAAATATTTTTTAAAATTGTATGTTTGTTATACTAATTACTAGCACCAGTTGGAGCTCCTCATAGGTCGCTTTTCTTTAGCTACTTGTCTACCATTCAAGATCATAGATGCAAGCTGTTGTACTATCATGTTTGGCTTTTTAAATATATGAAATTGTCAATTAGCATCCTATGGGGGAAATATAAAAATTTATTTCCCCTATACCATATTCCATATATACTTGGCTCTTTATAAATTTTCAATGTAT